TTTTAAAGCACCTTAATGTACACTGAATGCTTTATCTCTAATATCATCAATTTATATAAAAAGTATCATGTAATCATAGCAAAACTTCATGAATTTATGGTCCACTATAATTCAGGAAAAAAGATGAGCTAAATTACTTGTATTTATTCTTATAAAGTATCCGGTAAACGCATTTGAGAGTTTAAGATTACAGAGCAGCTAGCCTATTTATGAAAGAGCAAACTTTCTGCAAGTACTTTAAAAGAAAACTTTATCATTATCTAATTATAGATACTTTCTGCTGTACAATACTAAGTGATTCTTCTATGCTCATTAAAGCAAGCCCAGCTAGATCTTTCTGAGAGTCTCTTTGGGAACAAGTATATGTTTGCATGTTCTTTAAAAGAGCCTCTGATTTAGATATTTCAAAGCGACATGAACTTATCACTTCCATTTTTCCAAATTAGTCATATTTTCCCCAGAGTATATTTTCAATACTAGCACAGACTTCATAAAATCATCAGACACATAAGACAATGAAATATATATTGCAATAAATAATCCAGTTGCAAATATCATATAATACATAATGTCAAACTAATATAATTTGCTTACTCTCAAACAATCAACAGCTGTAATCTTTAATTTAGGCAGGATGGAAAAATACCACTCCTTCTTGTTGGTGGCAAGGGACTGGGTCTCTAGAGCAGTAAATCATATGTAGGCAGAATATATCTAGCCACAATAGACAGCGTGAAGCTTTTTTGGATTGGCCTTTCTCTAGTTTATCTATGTCTGTCTCCTTTTGACAATTTATCTCTTAATTTTGCATATCTATGCTAAGAAGAGATAGCTCCTGTATTGAAAAACAGTAAAAATAGCTCTGGTTTAATAGATGGTTTCTGAACAAAGATATTATACACACTCCCTAATTTACCACCTGGTGATTTGCTCCCCAAGGGAACTAAACAAAGGTTAAAATAAAAAAAACAGAAGTAGAAGAAAACAACTTTCAAGCTTTAATTTATTAATTACAGCCTATTATCATACAACAGAGAAAAGATGGCTTCAAGCACTTTTGTTTGTTCGGTCTGGTTGATTTTTTTTCTTTTTACCTGGCTTTTTATATAAATTAAGAGAGGAAAAAGAATGGAGTAGCTCTACTCATGAGGAAGGAAAAAATTATACACATATGTGTAGAAATTCTTTCCATTCAATCAGTGTGTCCCATGGGTCTAATTCCTTGCTTGTCTTAGGCTCAGTTTTTCCCTTAGCTTTAGAAACAGAACTCCAGTGAGAACATTGAACTCAGGCGAATGTTGAATCAGAATCTGTGAATGTTTATTTGTACATTTTTATATATAGTAATGGCCATACTTTAAACTTTCCATAGGTAACATTATGATTAATATTTTCATTTATTTTATGGGTAATACATTTTAAAAGTAATTTGTAATGGCTGTAATCAGAATATCATTGTTTAAAATTGTAAAAACACCAGATTTTACTTTGCATAGAAGGGGATTTTAGAATGTATTTAATATGTGCAATGGAATAGATCGTTAGTTAAACATTTTTTAAGTTGATATTTTCATGTTTTTATTCAAATTAAAATTACATAACAAGAGAAGTCATTATATTATATTATATGTATGATGTTATTGTGTGCTATTGTTACATAATTTAAAAACTTGTTATGGGTACATAATAGCTGTATATCTTTATGGAGTACATGGATGTTTTGATACAGGCATACGATGTGAATCAAATCAGGGTAATTCCATCACCTCAGGCATTTAGCATTTCGTTGAATTGGGAACATTCCAATTCCACTATTTTGATTATTTTAAAATATACCCTAACTTACTGTTGATTACGGTTACTTTACTGTGCTATCAAATATTGTAGACTTCTTTTTTCAAACAATGCTCAAGTGACTTCTCTTCAGTGGGACCTTCCCTCTTGCCCTGCTTCCTACCACAGTGAGTCACTGCTGGTAACAGTGGGTCATGCCCTCTCCCAGGTCTTAACTGTGTGGCCAGAATCTGCGTACCTGTCTCTCTTTCACTGAACTTTCAATAGGGAGCACCAACTGTGCCATGTGTCTCCGCGCATCCCTAATTCTTAGCACTGATCCTTGTACTGACTCCGTGGTTCTCAAGGGATAGTCTGGGAATACGTGAGGGTCCTCAAGAGCTTTTCAGGGAAACTGCAAGGTCAAAATTATTTTCATATAATAGGAAGATGTTATTTGCCTTTTTCACTCTCGTTTGTTCACAAGTACTCAGTTGAGTTTTCCAGAAGGTATATGACATGTGATAATGTCATCACTCTGACGGCTAATGAAATGTGTGTGTGTGCTTGTGTTTTTAAAGGTTCTGTTTTAATTTCTAATGTGTTGAGTATCCATAGATATAACACACATAAACAAAATTTGTGGAAGGTCCTCAACACTTTTTAATAGTAACAGTGTTCCTGAGATGAAAACGTTTGAGAATGGCTGTGCTAAATAATAAGAGCTGATATTTGAGACTTTTCCTGTTAGGCACTACGCTTGGCAGTTTGTGTATATTAACTTATTTAATCCTCAGAATATGCTGTGAGTTGGCTACTGCTATCCTAGCAATTAGGACACAGAGAATTAGCTCATTCAAAGTCCTACAACTGGACATGGCAGAGCTGAGATTGGAAACCAAACCAGGATCTGTCTATAACACTGCTTGATACTGATAATCTGTTCTATGTCAATGAATGTGAGATATTCATTCATTGCTTATTTACTTAGTGCCTTCTATGTGCTAAAACCCATACTAGACATTGGCAAGACAAATAGCAAGAAACAGATATATGAATCCTTCTTTCATCAACTTTACATGCCAGTGGGAGAGGATATTCCAATGATAAAAATCAACAAGTTCTTCCAATGCAAAAATCCATTTTTAACATTCATTTCATGTGATCATTCAGGTTCCACTACTTCAACTAATTTCT